ACAGGTTGATGTGATGGAAAAGGACTGAAGTTTGGATCCAAACTTTGGATCTAAACACAGCCATTGTGGGACAAAATTTGAATGGTAGAAGGATAACTAATTTGGGACGGAGGAAGTATCAAAGTGGCAAGATAAGAGCAGGTACAATAGCAGACTATAAGCCAACTATAACCACATATCGAGAAGAAAAGAGAAAGAGAGAGAGAAAGCGGGCTATAGATTTGTAGCCAGCTGCAACACGGACTCCAAAATGTTATTTGTGTATAAGATGTGGGACCGGGTATTAATGGTGCAGCATATTTTTATAGTTAAGCCCGCGCAGATGCGCGGGCAATTTATTTATTATCTATAAAAAGAATACTAAAAGAAACCATATCCCACCATATTCACTATAAGAAATAGACCATAGATTTTGATATATACAAAATGATCATAATGCCTATCATATCCAACCAAAAATCACTTTATCTCGGTTATATATAAATTCACCATTCACTATAACTTATTATCATTATCTTGAAATATGAGTGTCTTTTTAATAGATGGAATTGCAGCTGTATCCAAAAATAAACCCAATACATCATTAATACCTAAAAAGTTAATCTCCACATCATACCCAAATATCCATGTCTCACAGGTGTCCAAATCTATAAATAAATATTTAAAGAGATAATCCATAAAATGCCATTGACAAGCGTCAAGTCCCAGAAATACCATCGACAAGTGTGAGTTCCAAGAAATACCATCGTACAAGCGATTTTGTCCCAAAAATGCCATCGCCGTTAGGGTTCCGTCCATTCCACACCGTTTTATCTCATATTTAAAAATACCACTTCTACAATTAATAGGATAAAACAATTAAACCTATATATGAATGCTATTCTAATGATCGGGTAAAGCTGACTATAGCCGCTAAGGATTTTTCTCTAATGCCTTGACTCATGGGTCCCTGCATTGATATAGTATTGCTCCTCAAGACGAGCATGGAGCATAATTTTATTGGTAAGTAGGCCAGTTAAGCTTTATTGTCAACGGTAAACTCTTACTCGGACCACCTTAACTGAATAATGCATACTCCTGTATAATTACTACAACTAATTACTACAACATAGCCAGTTGAGATCCATACTTGCAATAGGGAATGAGTGAAAGTGGAGGTAGTAAAAAAGGGTTTTTTTTGTGTCTTGAGTTGATATATTGTATAGAGTAGATATAAATGTTAATCAATAGTACTAATTTTAGTAGGTGTAGATATAAATGTTTTTTTAAAAAAAATTAGCAGGGTTGATCATTCGACTATCTAATAGCTTCAGTGATCAGGACCACATAAAAAATATTTGTTCATGCAGAGATCCTTTGCTAACTTACAAGATAATATAAGTTTTAATATTCTTTTTTTTCTTGTATTATGCATCTAATTCAGCTATGCATGTACGTGGGGGTTAATATGTGTTTAAATTTGTGCTAATTTGTTAACAATGTTTGGATGATAACGACATAAAAATAAATATAATGTAGTTATATGTATGTCTTTTTCTAGCGAATAGTAGTCTCTTGTACATATATTTGTTTTTTCCTTTTTCAGAACAAATATTTTTCTAACATAGGGATATGGTGCATGAATGTGTATTCATAGTGTGCATCTGCACATATTTTTATGAGCTCATATGATTGCCTTTTACATTGTTATTAAAAAAATACTTTCAACAAAATTGACGGGAAGAGAGTGAAGCAATGGGTGGCGTGAGGCAGCGCCGTGGCATGGCTTGTTTTACCTCCTCGCTAAGAGTGGTCGCTATGTTCATATATCCTCAATTTAGGAAAAATCTTAGACACTCTTCCTTCTTTTTCTTTTTATATCTCTTGTGTACGTACTTATATAGGAGATGTGTACTTATGTAGAGATAAATTATATGGTTTTTAGGATAGAAGGATTACTTTAATGTATATAATTTAATTTAATGGCTGAAAATCATGGATCATCAATTTAAGTGTAAATTGATGGATTGATGTTTATCTTTTTATATAATTTTTCATTTATTCTCTCTAATTTATTAGGCGTGACATCATAGAAGCATTTGTAAAAGTGTGAGAATAACATTACTCATAGTTGTAATCTACTTGTACTCAACTATCATTTGCATCTTCTACCATTTATCTTCGGTGTTGGATAACACACGTGCTCATTGGATATCGGTTAATTGTTAAGTGCATTGTGCATGGATACCTCGTAAGTAATATTATTTAGCGACCAGTGGACAGTGGCTTGTATATAGAACTTACATACATGGGGATCAGTGATGACATATGTTTGATATTTTAGGCTACGATTGACCAAGTATACAAATATACTGTACAATATGTATTAATGTTTTAGTACCTAAGTAAAGCATTTAAGGCTATGTTCTAAAGTGATTATCAGATTGGCTACTTCCTTATTTATGTCGAGCATGTTTCCCAAACTGCTAAATGGTATATATATTATGCGATGCGTGTCTTGTAAACAGTGTTTATATATGTTATTTTTAAAAAATGAAATAAATTTATTTTCATTTTTAATTCTAGTATTCAATCAATCCTTGCTAATGACTTGGATCATTCCGAGTGCCCTGGATAAGCACACCAAATGAGCTTGATCGAATGAAGTCTAAAGTAGGAGATAAAGGACAACAACACGGTGTCAAACTAATATATTTGATTTTTAATTTTGAATAATATATAAATAAATAAAACACATAATACATTATAATTTTACTAATCTCATTTCAATATATTAGTACTTTTAAGTAGGGAGTAAGCAATTTTTTTAGAATGCTAATCATAAGTGGAGTTTTTTTTTTGAAAATACACGTCCAATTTAACAACGCATGTAATTAAGTGATATACATATAATGTATATTATTTATTTAGATTTTTTATGGATATTTTGATGACATATGTCTAGTAGAATACAACATGAAATAACATATACTTTTACAACTATGAGTTGAAATTATTAATTTGGGTTTATTTCATGTGAGTCAAAAAAAAAAGGAGGGACGCCGGACCCAACATACTAAATAATACCCATAATATATTACTGGTGCGTACATATATTTTTACATATACCAAAAAAAAACCCATGCGTTGCAACGGGTAAAAAACATTTTTATCATTATATACTTTTCAATTCCAGCCCAGCCCATTGCCTCCCTCTGCTTGGTCTGCCTCTCTTTGACCCGCTGTAGGCCCAACTCTCTTCAACCTCCAGAAGACAGTCCCGTGCCTGTAAGATACAGATCTGCTCCTTCTCATCAAATCCAATCTAATCTTTCGAATCTTTCTCGATCTCCCAATACTCTTCTTTCCGTTTTTATCAAAATTAGAGCGAATCCACAAAACTCAAGATAAAAAGGTGACAATAGAGAACCAGTGAATCAATCTAATCTTTCGAATCTTTTTCGATCCCCAAAATTAGAGGGCTTTTGATACCTTTAATCTCTTCTTTTATTTTTTTATTAAAATTATATCGAATCCACAGAACTCAAGATAAAAACGTTGACAATGGAGATCCGGTGAATTACGCGGAATAGCACGCTCGCCTGGAGCCGATCGCCCAGCTGTTGGATGGGCTGTCTGGAGCCGATTGCCCAGCCGTTGGATGGGCTGTTTATCCACGCGTCGACCATCCAGAGGTTGCAACCGGCCTCCAATTGTTTTTTTCACAGAGGCTCCAATGAGGTGGGCAAGCGAGGAGACGGCGGAGGCTCCGACATGGGCCTAGACGCCACACGATTTGGAATGCATGGGAAGAGAATCGGACAAAGAAAAAAATACGGGCACGAAGTACACGCGCGCGGTGAAAAAGAAAATCGGACAGAAAAATAAGCTTACATGGTAATGAGTCGGACGACGTACGTAATCGATGGCAAAAACATCTTCAATTTTTATAATGTAGAGAAGAGATAGGCTGAATTAATAATATCTATGGGCTAGAATAGTTAATTAGGTTCCGTAGGAAATTTAGTGAAATTTTAGTATATATAATAGATATGAGTGAAAAAGAAAAAAAAAAGAAAAGAGGAGCGTGGGGCCGGTGCATGAAGTACGTGCGTTCATGCACGTATGTGGGCTTCTATATACGTGGGCCATCTATAATTGGTTATTTCTTTTAGAGATCCAATGTTAAAAATATGGGTCCATCAGATTAAATGAAAACTAACGGTTAGATTTATTTTAATTTCTCTAAATTTATTAGAGCGCCACGTGGCGGCATAGGAGTATTTGTAGAGTGCCACGTGACAGCATGAGAGCGTTTGTAGGTAGTTTAATTTAATGGACTTTTAGTATATAATAGATAGAAGATGAGCTATTAGATTAGGTATAGATGATTTGGAGGCAGTAGTTGCCTATACTATTAAACTTGCTCTAACCAAAGTCACCCCGCATTTTTTTTTTCACGGGAAATCCCAGACGTTTCTCGTCACACTTTGATGCAGCGTCAACTCTCTCAAGCTAAGATAAGATTGGCCACTAGTACCAAGTTAACAACACAACACACACCCTGTACGCTTCTGAACTCGATAAGATCGATATCCGGGATTCTCTATCTCCAAAGATAACAGACACATGCACGCTTATTTGACTATCTGGCACGAGACTACGGCGTTGATTTTTCAGACGGAGCTCGATTAGTAGCATTTCCACGTAACTTGCCGACAATACTACGGAAAGATGTGAAATTATGTTTTTCAGGGAATTAAGGAAAGATGTGAAATTAAATAGGGACGATTTTCTTATCAATTAGGACGAGTAAGAAATTAAATAAGTAATGATACAGTGCTTAACTGAGACGCGAGAGAGTCGATGAAGAAGAAATAGCTGTACTTTGTGTATTTTGTGACAGATCGAGGGATCAGTTATACTTCTGCCTTTGCTATTGCATCCAAGATGCATTGGGTTTGTATGTAATCTGACAAAGATTAAAGAGAGCTTATTATGCATATACATGTACTACGTACCTCGCCGATGCCGGAGGAGGCGCCGGTGATGAGGACGACCTTCCCTCTCAGGCTCTCCTTCCTCAGCGGCTTCACGAACGCCCACAAGAACAGCTTCACGGGCATGGACAGCGGGATGTACACCAGCACCACCAGCGCGGCGGCGACGTGCATCAGCACGCTGTGGAACATGAGGTACAAATCCATCTCTCCTTTTTGTTCTAGAGAGAGCGAGAGATTGGGAGATGGGGAACCGGTGTTCTATTTGTGCTGGGTTTCTTCTTCCAGGAAGTATGGTGATGGTTATATATATATGAGCACAGAAGCTGAAGGTTGCTGACTCGCTGTAGCCAGGGGGACACAGTATCCATTATTCAGATATATCTTTCCCTTTTTAATAGATATCGTGGTTGATTTTTGATTAACGTGATATCTTCTTAATCTGTCCTTTCAGAGCTTTATTATTGTCTCAAGCTAACGTAGGAATAGTGACCAATAAACGGACAACACTGTACAACGTGCGACTCGCCACAATTTCATAACTTCCAAGATTCTCTGAGTCTCCAACGATTAGAAAAATTACATACACGCGATTATTTGATTATCTTCAACGTGCAACTCACCACAATTTGTTTAACAGAATTAGGTTTTTATAATCTGACATGTATGATAACTAAGATTATTATGAAAATTGATAAATGTTCACATACTGTTGTTATGTTCACAAACAAAATTTGTAAATTCATTGATAGTCAGAGATTCGAAATATTTTTTTTTCAAGGATTTTTTTTTCAAGGCCCGGGAGGAGGAACCTGGCCGAGATTTCATTAGAAAGAAAGAAAGAAAAGTAAATTGCATCGTCGGTACACGAACTTGTCAGGTGGGTATAATCTAGTGCACGAACTTGTAAAGTGCTTGTTTTCGTGAAAGAACTTGTCTGGTGCGTGTGAAGAAAGGCAAAAAGGACACTACATGGCTAATCTTATTGATTTAGGGGCTGGTTAGAAAATTATGTAGAAAGTTATTATTAGACATACATCTCTTTAATTAGAAAAAATAGAATGAGATATAGTGATAGTAGAAAAAGATAAAGAAAAAGAGCAATGATATAAGGGTGAGAAATATATGAAATTCATTATTTCCATGACAAAGGATAAAGTAGAGATCAAATTTATAAATATTACATGTTTTATGCATGCATACTCACTACACGTATGTACATCACATCCTAATCAACATCATCATCGTAAATTTAACATGGTCAAGTTATTTTGGTCCTCGTTTGCACGGACTAGACAAGTTCGTGTACTGAAACGAGCATTTTACAAGTTTAGTACCAAATTACACCCACCTAACAAGTTTGTATACCACCAATACAATTTACTCAAGAAGAGAAAGAAAGAAGGTTTACAAGAACAAAGTTTGGCAGGAAAGCTCCAAACAAAAGAGCCAGAAACAGTGGCCCAGGTTTTTTGTCTCAGAGTTGGGAGGTAACTACATGTCGGGCGCCTGATCCTGGGGTTGGAAAATCGGACGCTCACATCATGCTGATATCACTTTAAACTATTTTTATCTTAAATTATTTATCCAAATCATGATCCGATTGCACCATTAAATTCGTTGCAATTAAATCTTTGAAACAAGTACATTGAGGTTTTTCCAAACGGTTAAAAACGATTTTCGCATACGGTAAAATGTCTGCGAAAATCGCAATCTTCACATGTGGCTAGGGCAATTGCATGCAAAAATCTGCAGTCCCTTAAGTCGTTCGCTTGCAAAAAGAAAAAATAAAAAAAATCCCAAAAATCCCGAAAACCTAGCTCGCCGCCGCCGCCGCTGTCCTCGTTGACGCCGTCGATGTCGCTCGAAGTCTCCACAGCCGTCCTCGTCATCGTCATCGCCGTCGCCATCACTCACAGCCGCCGCCACCAGAGCTGCCCCTTCCATCGTCGTTGTCGGAGCGGCGGTGTGTGTTGGACACCTTGGACACCGTAGGGATGGAGGAGGGTGGTGGGCCGGCGTTGACGGTGGGGGCAAAGTAAGGTTGTAGTTAGGAGGCCAGGGCGAATCCGGCGAGGCGGGGGAGGGGGGCACCATGCCGCCGACGCCTTGAGGAGGAAGAGAGGAGGAAGGGGAAGGAGGTTGGCCGGGGAGAGAGGAGGGGGATGGAGGTGAGGCCGGACGGCGGCTCGGGAGCAAGAGTCGCTAAGGTGTCGTGGAGAGTTGGACTCAAGCGCGTGTACGACTGTAAGGAAAAAAGAATAGGTGAAGGGGATTAGGGTTTGGAGGATTTGCATGAATCATAAAGTGATCCAACCGCCTAAAATTTACAAGATATCAGGAAAGTTTTTCTGTCATATGTTGAATAGACAAATGCGGTGTTTATCTAAAAATCCGTCGCAAGTTTTTTGGCTAAGAAACTTTCAAATGCAACTTATAGAATAACTACATTATAACTATAGTGTAACTGCGTCTGCGTTGTAACTATATTATAATTAGAGTGTAAATGCATTGTAATATATAACTTGCGTATGAATTGCTTATAAGCAACATAAAACATTCATAGCTAGCATATGCATGGTGTGAACGGAGTGTTCTGGGTTCGATTCCCAGCTCGTGCAAATTTTTTCATTCAGCCCAACACGAATCTTCAAGTGCATCAAGCGGTTAAAAAAATCGAAAGTTTCTTCAAAACCTTTTTTTTAATACATCAGTAAATACTACTCCCTCCGTCCTAAAATATAAGCATTTTTAGCATAGTGTTCAGTCAAACATTTTAAACTTTGACTATTAATAGAAAAAAAAGTTAAAAAGCTCAATCATGTAAACTTGATATTACTAGATTTATCATTAAACAAAATATCATAATATGCAACTCTTTTTATTTAAAACATATTACTTTTATAAATATTATTGGTCAAAGTAGTATCTCGAAAACTGTGTCGAAGTCCAGAAATACTTATATTTTACGACGGGGGAGTAGTTTTAATCATCGAAGACTTTCCTAGCCATTGCCAGTATAACTGGTGATAACACTTGAAATTAATTTTTAACCATTGCTACCCTTTTGAGAAACATACGTTATGACTTATGAGGAGTCCACTACTACACTTAGTTTAATTAGTACTAATGTTTTACACATATAGGAAACTCAACCAAAAAGATCAATCAAACCATGAAGTTGATATCACGTTAAATACCTAGATTTCCACAATTATTTCCAGCCTCTCTCGTATTTGAAAACATAACACCTTTGAAAGTTCTCTGTTTCAGGGGAACCATAAACCATGACGGAACAAAGTTGTCCCTAACCAGATACGGTGGAAAAATTAACTACTACCTCCGTTTTTTAATAGATAATACCGTTGACTTTTTCTCACATGTTTGACCATTTATCTTATTCAAAAAAATTTACGTAATTATAATTTTTGTTATAAGTTGTTTTATCACTCATGCATAGTACTTTAAGTATGATTTATATATTTTACATTTGCATAAAATTTTTGAATAAGACGAATGGTCAAACTTATAAGAAAAAGTCAACGGCGTCATCTATTAAAAAACGGAGGGAGTATTTATCACTGCAATTAATGATTTGTCATCTGAACTCATATAACATTAACACATAAGAACCCACATATCATTGACACATAGGTGGTAAATAGGTAATTAACGCCAAACTAAAAGTGGTAAATAGTTAAGTCCAAACATATACCCTTCTGTCAAAAAAAAAAAAGATAAACCCTCCCAAATTTATAAGCAGGGTTTGTTTTTAGGATGGAGAGAGTATGTTTTATTGCTTTTTAATTTGCTCACTCCCATGTTCTAATTTGGCACACTATTATGCTTAAGACCTCCTTTGGAAGGCAGGTTTTTAACTAGCTAGCGAGAATAATAATAGTACAAAAGATCCACGTATTTATGAGCACGCATGCATCAGCAAGCATATATCTGGCAGCTGGCGAGCGAGCCATTCATGCGTCATCGTCGCCTGCAATCAGCGCACCGCTTTCGATCAGCGCGCACGGTGGTGCACTCGGGCCGGCGCCGGCAGATTCAGGCGCGGACGTCGTCGTCGTCGGGCTGACGATGTCGTGGATGCTCGCCCGCTTGCACTTGCTCAGCCTCCTCTTCTCTTCCCTGATGCAGAACTTCTGGTAGTGGCTCGCGATCTGGGTCGAGCTCTTGGTCTTCACGAACTCGCTCGCCAGCGCCTTCCAATTCCCCTTCCCGTACGTACTAATCCCGTGCAAGAATTGGCTGTGCATATACATGCATGCATGCGTGCAAGTTACATTGCAATTTGCAGAAGTTAATTAGGAGAAAAAGATACAGTTCAAATCTGTACTTGGTAGAATCTAGCTAGAACTTTTACTAGAACATATAAGTTTCCACGCGAATAAATTTATTTTTAACCATGCACATGTTAAATGCATATTTAGATATTTAAAATCCAATAAATATAGTGCAACGTTGATAACACCAACATAGTATGGCATAACGCTATCAACCAATCTATCCCCTCCGGTTTTGTTTGTTGAGGTTGGTTAGTTTCAAATGACACCACAAATTAAAGGACGGAGGTAGTATAACTGTATAAGTTTCCCTTTTCTATTCCTATAAATACGTGGCTTGAGGAATGAGGATAGGAGAGACCCATCTATTACTGCTAATGATGATACCACTCAGTATGTTATACCGGATTCAGATTTTTAGTGTACATTTTATAAGTTGGGGTTTTAGAAGGGTTTCTATTCGCCTGCCACTTGATTTTTTTTTATAAATCTCAATTGCTTTTGCACATTTTAGATTGCTCTAAGATTCTTACAGCACTTAAACATGGTACTCAATCCTCATCTTCATCTCACCTATAGCTGCTGCCAACTCCTTGCTCACCTAACCATCTCCTAGTGTGCCAATGCCCTTTGTCTCACTAGGTATGCATTCGTTGCCACCTCCATCACTCCCCCTAACACTTCTATCTCCATGATCTTGACATCTCTCTCTTAACACTCACGAGATTCCTCTATCCCACCTATTTTATCTCTATTAGCTCGCACTATATGGGATCGTCGTTGCTACCCTGCATCCTAAACCACTTCAATGACCTCGCCTGCTAGGCTACTATCAATGCCTGCCACCTTCCTCCTCTGTTTTTGTGGTTGAGGCACCACCACCATGTCTCTAGCCACGACCTATAGCTCAGGCGTCCTTATGGCCTCCCTAAAGCTGCCTCCTTTGCCCAACACCTCCTACCACCATCTCAACACCAAAGGTTGGGTCTCCATCGTCAAACCGTCACTTGAGAAACCTGACAGTGATGATTTCTTTTTTCTATCCATCTCTCTCCTTTATAGGTGAAGGTTGAAGATATTTCCCAGCTAGCTGTTAAAGTTCAATTGAATGTAAAAGGAGCAAGTAACTAAGTTTTTTTTTAAAAAAAATCTAAGTTTTTTTTTTAAAAAAACCTTGTCAACATATGAATAAAGCTGGTCTAATAGTACATTTTCTGAGCTTATATATCGGAATAGATGGCATCCACGTATATATAAGTTAAAGTTTGCTAGTGCATTTTACTCATTAATTAATAGACAGTATGCTGAACATGTAGTTTAATTAATCACGTACATTTAGATGACGTATATATAAGTAGAATCCAACTACTTTCGTTTAATTTTGTTGTGCGAAGAATGTAACAATATTATGAGAGATAGTTATAACCCAACGTTCACCTAGAAAAATTATACTCTATAGTAGTAGCTAGATAATAGGAATGCATTTATCATAAATGCAAATATTATGGACACTTTTGGAAAAAAAAATAAACCCAATAAAGAAATCTCGTGTAATAACGAAATAATGAAGCAGTGAAATACCTATGCTCTTCCCTGGTCCACATCTCCGCCTTCTTCCTTGGCCCGCCGCCGGCCATCCTCGTCTTCCGCGGATTTTTCAGCTCTCTAGATTTCAATACCACCCCGCCGCCGATGGTCGGAGCGCTCGTAGCAGCTGCATTCGGAGAAGCGGCGGCAGCGATGCCAATGGCCGTCACCTCCGCTGACTCTCCGGCGCCGGCCGCCGCGTCGGCCTCCAACCCGGGTAGTGGCGCCACAGCGGCCTCCCGTTCGTCCTGCACGTCCCACGCGGGCGGCGTGTCCACCGCCGGCGCCGCCATGACGAGCCTCAGCTCGTCGGCCAAGCACACGTACCGGTCGAACACCTGCGTCGCCGTCTTGCCGCCGAGCTCCGCGGCGAGCCGGTCCCAGTGCGGGTCCAGCTGCCAGCGCCAGAGCAGCATCTCCAGCAGCTTTTCGTCCCGCCGCGTCCACACGGACGACAGCGGCGCCGCTGGCTCGGCGGCTGCCGGACGGGGAGCGGCGCCGTCGCCGTTGCCCGTCGCCGTGGCATCATCTGTAGGCATGGGCGGGGCGTACGCGCGTACGGTGTTGGGATTAATTAGCACTAGTAGTAAACTGCTAACTAGTTGCCATGTTGCCCTAATTAAGCGGCAAAGGTTGTTACGCGTACAGATAGAAGATTTGGACTTAATTAAGTTCTGACAGAGTTTGTCATGTGGAAGATTATTGTACGTACTTAGCTAGTCTTGATTAAGTGCAGGAGCAAATTAACGGTGAGGCTTCCGGTCTGCCTACGTTTGCCGTTGATGGAGAAGTGAATAGTTGGCCAAAAGGCCCGTAGCCCGACGGCCCAGCCTACGGCATGGAGATTTGGCCCGGTTTAAGCATGGCACGATCTGATTGTTATCGGGCCCATGCCAGTCCGGCCCAATTAATCAAGTGAATTGTTCAGTATTTTGTAGCTAATGACCCTAGCAGCAAAAGCTTAATGACCCCGGCCAGCCGGCTTGGAGCTCAGGAAAACTGAAACAATTGTACAGCTTCTTTCTTTGGAAGCGTTGGGTTATGCTACTGTCAATCCGCTACTAATGCTGCAATTAGACATATTTATTAACCAACTATTTATTTTAGCTATGTGCTGTGTATATCAATGAATTAGGCCTGTAGTTCAATGAATAGCTGAAATTCGGAATTAAAAATAAGCAATATTGAAAGAAGTTTCCATATAAAAACCCAATATGAGATTAATTAAAATTCGAAATAAAAATAAAATAAAATCCAAAATTAGAAAAGGAAAGGAGAGTCTAAGTAGGAAAACAATTTAAAAATAGATGAAATTCGGAATTAAAAATAAGGAATATTAAAATAAGAGTCCATATAAGAACCCAATACGAGATTAATTAAAATTTAGAATAAAAATAAAAATAAATCCGAAATTAGCAAAATAAAATAAAAGAAGAGTTCAAGTAGGAATACAATTTAAAATTAGCTGAAATTCGGAATAAAAAAAGCAGAATCCATATAAGAACCCAATACGGGATTAATTAAAATTTAGATAAAAAATAAAATAATATAAAAATTAGAAAAAGTAAAAGAGAGTTCAAGTAGGAATACAATTTTGAAACAACTGAAATTGAAAATAAAAAACAAAAACATTGAAAGAACACAATACGATATTAACTATTTTTTTTAAAAAAATGAAATTAGAGAAAGGAAAAAAATAAGATTTCAATTAGGAATACAATTTATAAATAACTAAAATTTTTAATAAAAATAAAGATTATTGAAAGAAAAGACCATCTAAAACACATGACGATATAAATTAAGTAATAGGCCTATAAAAGAGTAGAGCAGTGGCGGTTGATACAACATATAAATATTGTTAATAATACACCAAATAGAATCTTAATGTCGATTAAAAGGAGGGACGTCAGGCAGGCCGTGAAGCAAACGAGTAAGGCGGTTGCCGAGACTTCTAGAAAGGAAAAAAAAACAAACCCCATTGATAATCATACTTGATTTTTAAAATCTCAATGACAATAAAAAGGAGAAGCAGTGGGCGGGGTGTATAAGAGTATAGTTGCAAAGCCGCCGACGGTTGGCGGGACTTCTAGAAAATAAAAAATGAATTCCAACGATAGTTATGTTCGATTTTTAGAATCACAATGATAATAAAGAATAGGAGGCGGACGGGTTGTAGAGAGGCATAGTGGCATCGATTGATGGGACTTCTAACAATTATAAAAAATGAAAATACAACTCTAATTTTTAAAGGTTCTGAACTTCTAAAAAGTGAAAAGTAAAACAAATAATAATCATGTTCGATTTTAAAATCTCAATGATAATAAAGAAAGGGAGTCAGTGAGCAAGCTGTAGAGGAGTACAATAGCAAAGCCGCTGACGGTTTGGCGGGACTTCAAGAAAGTAAAAATGAACCCAAATGATAATTATGTTCGATTTTTAAAATCTCAATGACAATAAAGAGAAGAGACAGTGGACGGGCCGTAGAGGGGTATAATGGCAACGTTTGACGGGACATCTAGAAATTATAAAAATGAAACCCAACGTAACAATAAACTCTAAAAACTATAAAATCCAAATTTTAAAGGTTCCAAGAAAAATGAATAGAAATAGTGGTAGATCGAGTAAGTAAATAAAGAAGGAGATGACATAAGGGGTAGCAATTGGTGTGACTTTTAAAAACTATATAATTAGAAACACGAGAATGATAAGCTTTGGTCTTTTCAAAGTCTTAAGACAATGAGATAGCTTTAATAAATTTTAAGTAAAATCATACTTAAAAAATATATGATTTTTTTGGGTGCTAGCCGCGCAATTGCGCGGGCCACCCAGCTAGTTAATCTCTTAAAGAGGCATAGGTAGTTGTATTTTTGGACAAAAGGAATAATAAATAACTTTCATACCATACTTTTATGTCTGGAAAAAACACATGGTTGTTATGCCCGGTTGTATATAGTCTTAACTTTTAAATTTTTGAACCTTAAAAACCTCATAAATTGTTGTAGAATAGACTTTAAACATTTATTTTTAGCAAAATGAAACAATCCCAACTTACTCATAGCTCTAGCTCCAAAAGAATTTTGAGCTAAAAATATCTAGCTTCAAAAATAATTAGAATTTTAAACACAACATAAATACAATTAAAAGCCATGACGCCAGTGGCTCAACATCCTGGCTCCGCCCGGTGGTATTCTACACAGATAAGAAATTATATGGTGTAGTTAGTTTTGTTTACCAATGGCGCACGTTAGTTCAATGATGGATGCCTGGGAGTAGGCAGTGGAGGAGTGGTGGGACCGTACTCCGTAGGTTCCGTTTGTTTAATATCAATCTAATATTCTGACGGTTTAATTGGAGTCACTGTTTTATGTAAAAATCAAATGAGAGATGTTTTGTTTTTTCTCATAATTTCTACGAGTTTATCTAATTTATTAGAGTGCCACGTAGGGCTAGCTCTATATTTCAGAGGGACAAACTTGATAACATATGCCCTCAAAGACTAAATACTCCCTCTGTTTTTTAATAAATAACATTATTGACTTTTAAACACATGTTTGGCCACACTAGCTCTACTATCATATTCTTTTGATAATATGACAAACTTAATCAAATTTAAAGAAATTTGACTAAAAAATAAGTTAAACGACTTATAAATAAAACGGAGAGAGTACCCTCGTCTTAAAATATAAAGGACTTTGTCAATGTAACTTATGGGATGGAGGTATAGTTCTGTGTGACAATACTTCACTCTCTAGACTTAAATTTGTAGTATCTATTATTATTTCATAGTTCAAATAACTCTTAATTACATCTTACAAGATGCGACCAAAAGTCCAAAACACCTCGTGATCTATAAGTTACTCGTACACAAATACCCAAACGCTCGACTCGAATTATTTCCTGCACAGCATGTATGTGTGTGTACGTGCGACGGCCCGCAAGTTAATTACATGCGGCGACGCCTTCGTCGCCGTCGCACTCCTCGTCCGTCTTGATGACGACCGGGTTGCGGCGGAGCCCCTCCGGGAAGAACCGCCTCGCGCCGGTGGCGTCGAGGGCTCTCTTGCTGAGCGGCGCTCCTCCTCCCGCCTTGGTGTTGTACATCGCGTAGGACAGCCAGCTCACGATCTCGGGCGCGAGGCACGCGACCAGCTGCAGCGGCCGGTACACGGACGGCCACGTCACGTACCGGTCGCCCCTCCGGATGCCGTCCATGGCGACCCGGCACATGGCGCCCACGCCGCCCACCGGGAACACCCCGATCTGCACCTGCAATATTCCATCGACCGGCCAAAACAATCTTAGCATTTTTTATTTACAGTGGAGATCGATGGCTGGAATAATTAACAATGCGTTCTAGTGATAATTGGCAGCTTACGTCTCTGGCCTCCTGGTCGACGACGAGCACGCCGTCTTTCTGGACGGCCTTGCCCATGGTCATCTCGGACTCGACGTAGCCGTGGGTGAGGATGGTGACGCCGACCTCCGAGCCGAGCTCCGCTCTCAGCGTCTCGTAGAACCTCAGCACCGCCGCTTTGGACGCCTGAAAAAGAGGGCGAAAGAGAGACATGGTTGATCAATGACAGCTTGGAGATCGATGGAGATCAGGAGAAGACGCAAAAAGAACTGTATGATTATGTTTTAATTTGTGGCGTTAATCTGGTCACTTACGTTGTAGAAGCTCATCCTTGAGGTGGCCACCGTTCCTGCCGCGGAGGAGCAGACGACGAGCTTTCCCCTGCTGGCCTTGAGGTGCGGCAGCGCGTAGTAGGTCGGGTACACGGCGCCCCAGAAATTCACATCCTTGAAATTCATGTAAACAATTCCTTTAGATTTGTTATTACAAGCTTCAAAGTAGCCAGTACACGATATCTACATGCATGCATGCACATGTTTTGTTTGTTGTGAACTTGGATTTACCATGATCGTGGTGAACGCGGTTATGTTGGTGATTTCATCGAAAGGGCAGGTGGACCAGATCCCGGCATTGGCGACCAGATGATTCACTGCATGCAGCACACTGCACATTAGTTACACATGAATAATCAAGAAGACAAAGATCAGAGTCGACAAATTAATTAAAGAAGAAATAAGAAAAACGTCCAGTTAGTTGCAGGTGTGTAGAGTACATTTGCCGTAGTGCGCGATGGTCTCCTCGACGGCGCGCCTCGACTGGCCGGCGTCGGAGACGTCGGCGTCGAGGACGAGGACGTCCGGCGCGCCGCGCTCGCGGGCGGCCGCGGCGACGCTCTTGAGCGCCTGCTTCCTCCGTGCCACCAGAGCGAGGGACGCCCCTTTGCTAGCATATTGGTAGGCAAGTTCCTGCATGTGTGCACAAATCCACAAACGATATGTTACATATATATGTATACTGTGTTAGCAAAGCAACAATAGTACGTCACAAAAACAGTAACTCACAAAGCCCTCACAAAAACAGTAGCAAAATTGCAAGCGAAGCGCACACATAGTTTTGAACTTTTGATGCCGTACGTTAAAGTCCCCTTGACGAAACGGGGCGAACACAAGTTCCAATTCAGAAAAATAAGGGCAAAATCAGTTGAAAAGTTAGGTTAAAATTACCTTTATGGCTTGTTTTGCAACTCAAGGGAAAAGGATTAGGAGAGAGAAACGATAGGGAGAATCAAGATGAGAATTTGATTTTTAATCCCAATATCTTGTTTGGTAAAGGTAGTGGAAATTGAATGGGAGTTTAGTTGAAGATTAGGTCATAAATGAAAACAGATAGTTGAGATTTGTTTAGGCAAAGTAAAGGAGGAATTCCCTCCCAATCACCATCCCTTACTCAGGTATTGAAAAGGAGGAAGTTTATTCTTCAATTCTCTATCCCCATCACACCGAAATTCCCATACCTCTTAACCAAACAAAATAGTTAATAGTCACATCCCACTAAACTCTTAATCCCTTCTAAAAACTCCCTCCCACCAAATGGGCTGTTAGAGTTGAAAACAAGGGTAATAATCCTTTAATCTAATCCTCCATAGTTCACATATATATTTGCGATAAGATTGAAATTTTAAATATTTATATCCTGTGCAACGCATGGAGTGGCGACCAGTATATATAAATTCAATATGATTTTTCAAGTGGGTACATTTTTTTATGACTTCCCCTCATGTTACGCTTACATGTAACTAACTAAAGGCTATTTTGAAACACTTCTGAAAACACAAAAATGAAAAAAAAAACAGAGGATTAAAATATCATGATAGGATTCAAGAGGTTATGCTAGAAGTCCTCCAAAATTCCAATCAAACATGCCATTCAACGATTCAACAAGAATGTCAAAAGGAATTCTAGAAGCCCAATCCTTTATGAAAAAGCCTTATAGTAATTTTTCCTATAAAATTTAAGTGCTTAGAAATTCCTCTATTTTTTCTTTGTTCCAAACTCCAAAGAAGCCCTAAGACTATGCAACCAATACTGTTACTTTGTCCTATCAAACAATACTGTTACTTGTTTAAATTAAAAATAGTTAGCAATTTAGCAAATAGCAGTAAAATGGGAGGGAGTTCCATTCAAAATTGGTCTTTGGAGCTGACCGATGGAATGACAAAAACCGGAAACTAATGGCCACTCCATGGAGGGTCTTATATCCTCTCGCTCTCGGTGATTCCTCCAGGTGGAAAAAAATGTCATTCTTCCTCCTCCATCCAGTTCCTTTCCTCCATCGGGGGTTGGGGGGGGGGGGGTTTCCAGATAGTCGGGTTCTTTCCATAGTAGTGTTTTTCCCTTTGTTTTCTCTTTTCTTTTGGTACTTTTGTGTAGTTCAAGAGTTCACCAGCGTCACATTTCTCTTGTCCCGGTGGCCATCCTCAAACTGGAAGTAAAACAAGTTTGCTTCACAAAAGGTTGCACCGTCCATTTGGTTTATCTCTAGCGAGGCAACCACAAGGATGCAAGCCTCCTTCATCACCGACAGTGCATCATCGGAGAAAAGCTGAGTTTTCATGGTTTTATTATGGAAGCCTTAACCTACAGGCGGAGGCCCCTTTTAGGTATGCTTCCTTACACCTTCATCTTCAACTATATTCTTGGTTTCTTCATCACGGTTGCAGCCATGGACCTAGCTAGGTTGCTATCAGGTTGAGAAGAGTAGGACTTAATTGTTTTTTCTAGTTTCTTATGAGTCATTCCTAGCAAATTTCAGAAGCTTATGTTAAGTTAGCCATCTTCAAGGGGCCTTTTTGCAAACTTGCTTGTACTTGCGGTTGACTCTCCACTAGGAATAAGTGATAACTCATGTGATATGTACTTAGTTATCTATAATCAATAAAATGCATGAGTTCTTTTTAAAGAAAAGTGAAAAAAACCGCGGCCCGGTGCCCACAGGGAAGTAGAAAGAAACGACGGCTGCATCATATCAAATAGCTAGCTAGGTGTGCATCAGTCGAATTTTTTTAAGAATTAATATTATTTTTATAAAAAATCGCAAAAGTAGTGGCCAACCGGGGAAAATCGCGAAAGTAGGTCCCTGTCGAACGGGTGCAATTCGATAGGGCACCTATCGAACGACGGGCAGTCGACAGAGCCCTGTCGAACGGCTGGCGTTCGACACGCTCGCCTGTCGAACGGAGGGAGTTCGACAGGGCCCACCACCCCGTGCCGCCAGGCCTGTCGAACCGGGGGCGTTCGACAGGTCCCTCCACCCACCCTGTCGAACAATGGGCGTTCGACAGGCCGGTTTAAAGCCCCGTCTCCCCAGCCCGCGATGCTTGTTCGATTTGTTTGAGGACCACATCGCCAGCCGCCGTCGAGAGTCGCCACATCGTCGCCGTGAGCGCCGGAGGGAGCGAGGGGAGGGGATAGCAGGCCGGAGAGGAGGCCGAGGAGGCGCCGGCCGGGAGGAAAGGGTTGGCGACGCCCTCCAGCAGTGAAGTTAAGGTATACATTAGTAATCCCTAAGTACAATGCATATGAAAGTTTAATAAAAAATTGGTTTAAGAGTTGTTAATTGTTTCGCATTGTTCGATGTTAGTATGTATGGTTAGCACATATTTGTTATTGCTAAATGTTGGTAGAGGTATTTAAGTAATTGTACGGTTAAATTAGTTCTTAGTTAGTACATATTATTGATATGTTGTGTGTTAAAATATGTACAAAGGTGTTATATTTTATTTGGATTATTAAACTAGTTGTTTGTTACTAATAGTTGTAAATTAGTACACGGCAATGTAGTATAAGTTGTAATAGGGTAATTATCGAATGATTAAATGATTAAACGTGAGACTATTTGTCATGTTTTATCAGGATGTCAGGTGATATGCCCATTCGTCTGTATTATGGCGATGCTCCTATACAAATATGTGATAGCGGGGTGGATTTGACTGTATATGCCTTCCATGATACTAGTCTGAATGCACCGGAGCATATGGGTTTGAACGACGTGTTAGGGTGGTTGTATAATATGTTTGGGGTAGATCCAGTGCACGATAAATTTGTCATAAATGCCGTGTGGCCAGTGAGGGGTCAACATGGATGGCAGTGGAGAGTAGTGGAGGTTGCGTCAACTGGGAGTTGGAGGAAGTTTGTTAGTAAAGTAAGGGAGAAAGGCTATAGCCTGGCAATAGTGGTGCAGAAGACAACATGTGTTGATCGATCGGGGGAGTCAAGTCATGCCGTGGTGGAAGAAACTCCGTTGGAAGGTGGACAAGCTGAAAATGTTTGGCGGACTGAGCAAGGTCGAGGGGAAGAAGTAGTAGAGGGTAATACACAAGGAGAGGTCATTGTTCGTGGTACTAATCGTGAGGCCAACGACTCGGACGATGAAGAACCGGATTCGCCTATGCGTGTTGATGCAGCGGAGGAGAATGAGGCGGTAGTGGATCAGATGGAAGTGGAAAACGAGGAATACATTGCGCTTGTAGTGGAAGGAGAAGATACAACACTATGGGACAACGAAACTTACATCCCGATAATTGGACGACCATATCAATGAGTCGTATGAAGGTAAACGATGGTTTAGATGCCCACTGGTGTTATGATAGTAAGCAGGTGAAAGTTGGACAGATGTTTCATGACAAAGGTCACTTACAAGATGCGGTGAAGAGGTGGGCATTTGTCCAGAAGCGTGAGTTCAGGGTGAAGGTTTCAAATAGGACGACGTATGACGTGAAGTGCATACAGGGTGGATGTCCTTGGAGAGTGCATGGTTACAAGCCACAACATGACACTTTATGGGTAGCTTCGAGGGTTGAGCAACATACGTGTTTGTTGGAGAATACCCGTCTGGTGCACAGAAACCTGACAGCGGCATTTGTGGCACAAATAGTATATTCAAAGGTGGTTAGAAAAACATCTTTGCCCCCTTTCACCATAATGCATGACGTTGAGAAAGAGTACGGATATGAGATATCGTACGACAAGGCTTGGAGGGCAAAACAGAAAGCATTGGAGATGAGGTTTGGAACTTATGAGGATTCTTATCACAATCTTCCCCCACTATTGGAGGTGATGCAGGCAAGAAACCCGGGCACACACATGGCTATTCTCGATGAGGTGAATGAATATGGGGAGAATGTTCTTCGTCGGGCTTTCTGGTCATTTGGGTGCATGATAGAGGCCTTTAAAAATTGCATTCCTTTGCTCTGTGTTGATGGCACTTTCATGACAGGCAAGTACAGAGGAACAATTCTAACCGCGATCGGAGTCGACGCGGATAGCCATGTCGTTCCTGTTGCTTTTGCATTTGTTGAAAGCGAGAACACATCAAGCTGGCTATGGTTTTTGCGGCACATTAAAATGTGTGTTGTTGAAAACAGACCAAATGTGTGTGTTCTGTATGACCGACACGCCGGTTTGCTATCAGCGATACAGAAGCTTCAAGAAGATGTCACACAGTCCGTGCCATGGCCAGATTTACATAGCAGATGGTGCATGCGACATTTTGGGGCTAATTTTTATAGACAATTCAGGAGTAAGAGATTGATGGACCTGTTCAAGAAGTTATGCAAGCAGAATCAACAAAGAAAGTTTGATGCCATATGGGAGCAACTGGATCGTTTGACCACTACACACATGGAAGAGGTTAGGAAAAAACCCATAGTTGCCAGACAGGAGGAGCCGGAGGGACTTGAACCCATTCCTAATGAAGCACCAAGTATTACTCGGCGCAGGAAGCGTGGAAGGGCCACGAAGTGCTTCACGGAGTGGGTAGAATTTGAGCCAAGGGAGAAATGGTCGTTGTTGTACGATACAGATGGATCAAGGTATGGTGTGATGACAACAAATCTTGCTGAAGTGTATAACTGGGTTATGAAGAATACACGACCTCTACCACTTGTTGCTATCCTGGAGGGCATCACGAGGGGTACACAGAAGTATCTCTGTAAAAGGTATTCCATGGCTAGTCTGAACCTCAGCAAACCCAGTGTTAAGTATAGCCCCGCTATTACACAGTACATGGATGAGAAAAGTAAGAAGGGAGGAATCCACAGAGTGTGGCATGCTGGGAATAGAGAGTTGTTATTTGAGATACGACTTCGTGACAAGAGTGGTGTCGGCATTGGGACTACTGACATCACATTGGAATGCACGTTGTGGCCAGAGTATCACGCTTGCAAATGCAATTGCAACAAGCCTTACCTGTTACATCGGCCATGTTCCCACGTTCTTGCTGCTTCCGCAAAAGGGGGTGTTGATGGAAACATTTTTGTTTCTCCCTACTTTAGAAAGGAATCGTGGGAGGCAACTTGGCGTGGTGAATTGCGTGGTTGGCGTGCCGTGTGTGATTTCACTCGTCCTCCTCCAGGGCAAGCCAATTGGGTTCCTGACTCAAATTTATTAGTTGATACTAAGGGTCATCGCCAGTCACGCAGGATCAAGAACCTTATGGATGAAGCTGAAGTGAAAGATCGTTCTCGTCGTAAGAAAGCTTGCATTCTTTGCGGGGAGAACCATTCCCGTAAAGATTGCAGCATGTACAATGTAGGGCAAGATGCCACAGGCGCTGATGTTCGTCGCGTTCCAAAGGGGAAGTCGAAGAAGAAAAATAATCCTTAGTTCGCTATTATCCTTGGTGGACTCCCTACTTTGAAGATCGTTATCGTTCAATTTATGTTTAGTGCGTCTGTAATTTTAATTTGAACTTTCTTGCACTTTTATTACCCAAATCTATTTGTAATGGCCTTGTAATTTTCATTTTGAACTGCACTACACTTTTAATATCGTCATGTATTTGTATTGGAATTGTAATTTAAATTTCGAACTGCACTGCACTTGTAATATCGTAATATATGTGTCGTGGGCTTGTAATTTTAAATTGAAATGTACTGAACTATTCTTATCTGTATCTATGTGTGCTGGTACTGTAATTTTAAATTGAAATGGCATGCAAATTTGTTAATTGAATTATGTTGCATACATTTATTGTACTGTTACCATACGTGCATTGTACTAATGTGGTTTTCGATCTGCAGGTATGGCTGATCAAAATGATGGGCAGCTGATAGACAAGGAGATCGATAGGAACCAGAGCAGGGCCACACACAGCACACATGTAAGTCATTTTAAACAATAACACGCTTTAGTTTCTAATTATATGTATCGTTACTAACTACGCCATATTTTTTGGTTTCTCCCTCTTGTACAAACAGACGATGAATACGGTTCGGCGTCGACGCATCACGGAGTGCCTGCTTACTCCCCTCGCACAGCATTCATTGAGGACTTCTTTTCCACTGATCCTCCCTAGGGGGAAGTAGGGATGGATTACTGGCACGCAGCACCTCAGGTCACACAGCCGACGCAGGAGACGGAGGCCGGTCAGGGGCCAGACGTGACACCACACCAGGCAGCTAGAGATAGGCACCCCCCTGATAATTTGACATATCCCACTGAGCAGATTAGGCGTAGGAAGAAGGGAGGACCTAGCAAGCGTGCGAAGGGCACTGATCGTCCTTGACTTATCTATTTGTATTAAACTTTTAGTCATTTATGTTCTGTCCGTACTATTTAAGAAACACTTTACGATTAACTTAGTACTATCAGTACTATTTCATAAACTTCTTCGGATAATTACTCAGTAGCATACCCTTCGAATGAATCATGACAAATTATCATTCAAATATACAAATAATGAAACTAAATAATTCAAATATTTTAACCAACAAATAAATACTACAATTTCTGACCAAACATTATCAAAACCCTAAATCACATACATATAACATTACAAAAATATTTTCCTTTCTTACACACTAAAATAAATTACATATTATTAAAAAAAATAACTTATTACAAATAAATGGAGAACGCGACCCTGTCGAACTGCGGCAGTTCGACGGATATCCTGTCGAACTGCGGCAGTTCGACAGCCCAGCCTGTCGAACGGGGGCTGTTCGACAGCCCTGCCTGTCGAACGGGGGCTGTTCGACAGGTCCTGTCGAACGGCAGCCTTCCGATCTCCTCGCCAGTCGCGCTCTGGCCGTTCGATAGGCGCCCTATCGAACTGCACCCGTTCGACAGGGACCTATTTTCGCGATTTTCCCCGGTTGACCACTACTTTTGCGATTTTCCATAAAAATAATATTAATTCTCAAAAAAATTCTGCATCAGTCCATGATAGGAATGGCCACCAAACAACACAGTACATCTGGCATGTTGAGATGGGACAAACTAGAATTGCTAGGCGTTCATGACCGGTAATTAACTTCAATTACAGTCTTAACTATAGCCACTATTTATATACCCTTATCTAGCTAGCACGCTGTACATTTCAATCCCGCGAGGACGTACAATTAACAATTAACTATACTCACTTACCTCGAGGAGCTAGCTAGTTGATTAATTAGATTACCTCGCCGATGCCGGAGGAGGCGCCGGTAATGAGGACGACCTTTCCTCTGAGTTGCTCTCTCCTCAGCGGCTTCACGAACGCCCACAAGAACAGCCGGACAGGTACAGACAGTGGGATGTACACCAACACCACCAGCGCGGCGACGACGTGCATCAGCACACTGTGGATCGGGAGGTAAACACGACCCATATCTTTGTTTGCTATATATAGCTTGCGTGGGTGAGAGAGAGATCGATATGGAGAGATTTGTGCTCGTATGTGGCTTATGTATACGAACCAACGGGGGTAGCAGCCGGCGGTAGCGGTATCGGTGCGTGGACTTTAAGGTTTAATTTGATATAATTTGGTAGCCAACCAAATTACTTAATTATATGTGTACAATGATGGGGTTAGGTACTCCAGGTTATACTACCGATATATAATGTGCCTTGTCTCATATAGTCATGTGCTTGCGTGTTGGGGTAAAATATAATAGTACTACATGGTCATGCATGACTCAAGAGTCATTTTATATATATATATATATATATATATATATATATATATATATATATATATATATATATATATATATATATATATATATATATATATATTTGTATTGGCAAATTAGTCATAATTCAAGAGAAGTGTCTTAAAAATATATCATACTTTTTTAAAATAACTTTCAAATATGACTATAATATAATCTATCTATCTTTATATACTAAAAGCCTATTAATCTTCTTATAAACGCTCCTAAGCCGCCATATGGCGCTCCTACAAACGCTCCCAGATTGCCACGTGGCAGTATATAATCTCACCATCGATTTTCATTTAAATTGGTAGACCCGTTATTTTAGACCATTAAATTAGATCTTAATATCCTATGGATATGAGTGAAACCGTTTAAAAAAAAACTTACGTACGTATGCACTATGGAAAGAAACACCAGGAAAACTTACGTACGTATACTATGGAAAGAAACTAAACCTTTTCAGCATAGGTACGTACATGCGATGGCATCGTGTGATTGTACGTACATACTGTTCATTTGAAAAAAAAATACTTCCCCTTATAAGATGTTTTGATTTTGGTTAAAGTTAAACTGTTTTAACTATATACAAATATAGTAATATTTACATTACCAAATTATTTGTATTAAATTAATAATTAAATATATTTTTATAATAAATTTATATTGGGTCAAAAATGTTACTATTTTTTCTATAAACTTGGTCAACTTAAAGCAGTTACATTTTATAACTTGAAACGGAGGAGGGAGTACTTACGTACGATAAATAACTATTAAAAAAAGATAATGTTCACTTGAAAAAATATTACTTACGTACGCACGAGTAAAAATAAAAGCTATAAGACCTTAAAAAATATATGTACGTCGGTATAAGAAAATAGACGTTTTTTAAAAAAAATAGACTTTTCTATACTTAAAAAACAAAATTTATTACTCCACAAATAAGGTCATGTGGTGTTCCTACAAGCACTCTTAGACCGCCACATACATGACTCTCTATAATTTTGCTATCAATTTTCATTTAAAATAATGGACTATTATTATTTTAGATCATTAGATTAGTCTGTTTCCTCTTAATTTCCTATGTATACGAAAGAAACTGTTTACCGGATGTTCAATTAAAAAATACAAAGAAACATACATATATACGATAATAAAGCTATATAGCCCAAAAAAATATATTATCAGAGTATATACTACGATAAAAAAACTATAAAACAAAATAATTCGTTAGATACTATTCCCTAAAAAAAGTACGTATGGATGCACGAGTAAAAATAAAAGCTATATGACCCTAAATATGTTTGTACGTCGGTAGAAAAAAAATAGACAGTCTTTTTAGAATAGGATTTTCTATACAACAAAAATAAAATTTATTACTCCGCAAATATGGTCATGTGGTATTTCTGCAAGCACTCTTAGAATGCCACGTAGCAATCTATAATTTCATTGTCAATTTTTATTTAAAATGATAGACCCATTATTTTAGATCATTAGATTAGCCTGTGTCCTTTTAATCTCCTGTGTATAGGAGAGAAACCTTTTATCGGATGTTCCATTGAAAAAAACAAAGAAACATATGAACACACGATAATAAAGCTATAAACCCCTAAAAGTACTAATATAAGTTGGGAGAACCATAAAAAAATATAGACTGTTTTCAAAATAGGATTTCCTACACTATAAAAAAAAATTTATTACTCGACAAATAAATATGCATGTTAAACTAGATCAATATAAAAACAAATTAAATGTGTTTAAATGCCCTTTTTTTAGATTATTTTTAAATTTTATAATCAACTTTTAATTAGGTGTATTCAAATCTTAATAACTTATCATAGTTATATTATAGTGCTAAATACATTACATCACATGGAGCTGACATGTAATAATTAATATCATAATATATTTTTAAATAAATTAGGCAGCATATAGGCCATGAGATTGTGAGAGGCAAGACTATGTCAACCCCTTGATTGTTCCACCTATTAGAGTGGGCATTCATGCCTATTTTTTAACGGTGTTACCCTAATAACCAATAGAAACGTTAGTTTTAAATATTTATTTATAGATTTAGAAATAAGTGTTGACTTAAACATTTAGGTACATAGTTGAAATGAATGTTTTATGTGTTAATGATGTGGACTTATTTTGGTGGTATAGATGGAGTTCCATTTATTAAAAACATATATATCTTCTAAGAACAATGATAATAAGTAATGGTGATAATAAAAGAGTTTACACTTACTTGGACGAAAGTGATTTTTGTTTAAATCTAAGAGACATTCTTATCATTTATATTAAATACTACGGTCTATTTCACAACATAAATTTTTGTTACTATGAGGCAAAATCTATAATTTTTTTATATGTATATGGTGAGATATGACTTAATTCTCTTAGCATTATTTATATAAACAATAAAAAAAATGTCCGCGCATCCGCGCGGGCTTTCTTTCTAGTTACATTATAAATATACAACGATTATAATGTAACACACAAACTTTAAGAAAAGTGTGCGCACTGATTGGTTTGGCTACTGTAACACCCAGGATTCAACGATCCTGAGGTGTTACATCTATCCTTTTGTCAGCGACATCACCTCTTCTTCCTCCTCTACACTCGCTCTCTCCCCTCGTCTCTTCTTTCCGGCTTGGCAAGGGATGATGCACGAAGGTGGCGATGCTTCAACCTCCACATGGCACTGCCCCTCCCAACGACCTAGAGAGCCCAGGGCGATTAGCGGCGAGGTCTGGTGCTGTTATGATGGAGATCGAGTGACATTGTCTAGGAGGTAGAGGTCATAGATGTGTTCATGCACACTGCGGAGATGGGAAAAATGTGGGATGACATGCATGGCGAGCTCTCTTCTCGCCATCCTCGAGCTCCTACATCACTAGCTTGTTGACCTCCGGTGTTCTCGTCACGTCCTAGAGCTCTCGCAGCCTCTTTGAGCTCCTAGGGTGCAGCTGTCGGTGAGCTCGAGCTTCTACGAGTGGGGCTTTGGCGAGCACGCCTCCCCTGCAGATCTAGAAGGAGGCTCGACCGAGAAAGGAGCTAGTTCTCTGCCTCACTTCTCATCGCTGCCACGTGCTTGAGGAGGTCCACTAGCTGCCACTTGGATTCTCGTTGTGCGTCATCTCTGAGCTCAGCTCTCAGTTGACTCCATAGGGAGAGAAGAGAGATGATATAGTGAAGAGAGAGAAGAGGGGGATGAAGGAAGAAGGTGGGGTGGTCACGTATGTATGGGTCCTATATGGAGTTCCAATGTATTCTTTATTTTCTTTTTGCTTGGTTAGGATATCATATATATCAATCGAAACCACCTGACAACTGTCGAGGGTTTTTATTTTGTATTAGTTCTAAAAGTTGGAAGATGCTCCATACCTGGTATTATAGTTAAGGAACACGAATTTAAAACTTAACCCACGTACGGGACCTAATAGACATTTTTTTCTTTTATTACCAATTTAGCCTTAGAGCAACCACAATGTGAAGAAAAAGCGGGTAATAAGCAATCAATGCTGACTTCTTACCTAGCAAGATACATTGTGGCAGATGGCAATAGTTATAACTGGGTAGTATACTTACTACCGGCAATAAGCCATTAAAATATATTTTTTTGTTAGTGTGTGTATGACAATCTCCTCACATGGCACTCAATGTGGACCCCACCTTACTTACCACTTCAGGTATTAAACATTGTGATGCCTACAAGTAACTATTATTGTCTGACATCGGGACCCATCTTACTACTAAGTTGGTAAATAATCATTGTGGTTGCCCTTACACACAATGGGCTGGTCCAGAGCCTAAACGAAAGCTGTGCCTAATGACTATATTTTTTTTAAAGAAGGGTATTTTTTACCCGGTCTCTATATCTAACCGGATATATGCAGCCTTTTTTTAATAGGAACTTAGCCTATCAAACAGGGAACTAGCCCTCAAATAACCCATCTGAAATTCGCTCCTATGGAGATTTGAACTCAGGACCTTGGGATGCTACTTAAGTCACAGCAACCACTAGCCTACATGTCCTTTCACATCAACTTTGTGATACTACCTAACTCCATCCTAAATAACTTTATTTTTCACACATCCCACACATATATCAATAGAAAGCCAAAAGTACTATAAGGTCTTCCGCTATAACAAATCCTAATATTTTTACTTCTAATGCAGGCAAGATTCCTGCTAGCTGATTGGTCCATAGTGATCAAATAATGTGGTGACAACTTACGGTTTTCTCGAAGTATCTGATATGTACTTATTTGCCCTGAGCCGAAACATCCTTCTGCACAATCTGCCAACTTACTTAAGGCTGTGTTTGCCAACTGCAGTTGGGAACAAATTCCTCCGGCGAAAAAAAAAAGGGACTCATTAACGATAAGTTAAGTATTAGCTTAAAAAATTAAAATAGATTAATATGATTTTTTAAGCAAGTTTGCCATATAAAACTTTTGCAAAAAAAAAAAACTTGTTTAGCGGTTTATGAAGCGTGTGCGCGTGAAAAACGAGAAGATAAAAGTTGGGAAAGTAGGAAAAAGAAACCAACCTAAAAGTCTAGGAATAAGTCCACTTTAACTCCTTCAACTATATGACTAATCCAATTTGTATCCTTCAACCGCAATATCAGATATCCTGATCCCGAACTTTCAAAACTGGTATAATCTAACTCCCTTAGCAGTATTGGAAAGTTCTTTTCG